TCATCATCATCATCATAACTGCTGGTACTGCTGCATTTTCTTTACTGTCATGCGCTCATGTTATTTTGTGTAATAGTGTGATGCTTCTTCAAAAATGAAAGTATAAGTAGTTGATATTTTTATAGTTATACCTGGAATGTTATAATAAATTTTTCATGTACTATATACTTGCATCAGTCAGCTATAGTATTTAAGAATTCAGTGAACTCTCAGCTGGAAAAGAATGTAGATAGGTATAAGCACACGCACAAACAAATACATATATACATGCATATATAAATATATATATATATATATATATATATATATATATATATATATATATATATATATATATATATTTACAAACATTATATATATACATATATACATATATATGTCTATATATAATATGTCTAGATATATGTCTAGATAGATAGATAGATAGATAGATATATAGATATAATGTATACACACACACACACACACACACACACACACACACACACACACACACACACACACACACACATATATATATATATATATATATATATATATATATATATATATATATATATGTATATATATATATGTATATATATATATATATATATATATATATATATATATATATATATATGTATATATGTATATATATATATATATATATATATATATATATATATATATATATATATATATATATACATACATACACACATTTATAAACATTATATATATATATACATATCTATGCATATACATATATATATATATATATATATATATATATATATATATATATATATATATATATATATATATATACATATATATATATATATATATATATATATATATATATATATATATGTATATATATATATATATATATATATATATATATATATATATATATATATATATGTGTATATGTGTGTGTGTGTGTGAGCGTGTGCGTGTGTGTGTGTGTGCGTGCGCGTGCGCGTGCGCGTGCGCGTGCGTGAGCGTGTGTGTGTGTGTGCATGTGTTTGTGAAGAATGGAGCGTAAAACAAAAGAACGCGGGAAAATAAAAATAAGCAAAAATGGAAGAAATGGACATATAAAAGAAATCTTATCTTATCTGCTTCCGATTTCATAAACCTTTTGCGCTGTGTTACTTTTTAGTGTAACTTTATGAATTTCATTTCTTCCTCTTTATCACTTTTTCACCTCTCTGTCTGCCAGCTTGTCTATCTGTCTGTTTACTTTCCCCCCCTCCTTCCCTCCTCTTCCTTCTTCCTCTCTCTCTCTCTCTCTCTCTCTTTCTCCCTCCCTCCCTCCTCTTCTTTCTTACTCTCTCTTTTTTTCTCCCTTTCTCCCTCCTCTTCTTCCTTACTCTCTCTCTCTCTCTCTCTTTCAATATTTTGAACACATGGATATATTAACTTTGAACTCAAGAATGCAAACAGCGTCAAGGGAGTATTGTAATAACCATTTCTATTTAACGCGATTTCAACATACAAACATTTAAATATTCGTGTAAAAAATATATCATTAAAGAGTGATGTACACACAATGTGATAATATAAACACGCAGTTTTTTTACTGCATTTTTTCATTGGAGTTAAAAAAAACATGGCACAGTCAAAAGAAATGCTATCATTCTTTCATTGATCAAATATTTCCAATTTATATTGTACGTCCAATATTAATAACCATTCTCGGCTATTACGAATCACCAACATCACTTCAGCTTTTTTAAGTGCACGTTAAGTACAATGATTTTGGTTAAATTAACGAGGAGAACCTGTGGTTCTAAAGGTAATTAAAGAATCAAGTCTCTTATTTTTTAATCCAATTTTCGCTTAGTCAGATACATGGATTTGGCAGTTATGAAAAGCCACCAATCAAAAAATGAAAAAAAGAAAGAAAACAGTAAAATTGAACATGTAAGAATGTTATCCGCAGACAAGCAACTTCTTAATTAAGTATTCCTGTAAATTTTCTTTAAAAAACAACAGAAAATGAAAGATGATTTTTTTTTGTGTGTGTATGTGTGAGTCTAGCCACGGGAGTAAATTATTCTCAAGTATAAAGTCGAAAGTTATTATCATTCAAGTAAGCTTAACTACAGCGAAATGAAGAACAACGTACTTGCACACAAGCATAACTACAACTTTTGAAATGACAAGGAAATGTGTCACACGTGCTAAAATTTTAACCGTGTGCAAAATACAATTTGTACAGAATGAGCAATGAGAATTGTAAGAAAGGCATACCTCAAACACTAGTTAATAAATGCTGTACACTTATCTTTTCATAATTTCCCTGCTTACTCTTCAACACTATCATCACCATCATCGCCATCATCACCATCAACACTATCATCACCATTATGTCCCTAGATAATGCTCATTCTGTACTATAAATATGACTAGTAGTAAAATATAGAGTTGAATACATGGCAACACCGGACGTCCTAGCTGGCCACAGTGCTTGGCTCACTCCCACTCACACACGCGGTCGAGTCGGCTTTCGCTCTCTCAGTGTGCAAGTGGGCTTTTAATGAAGGGGTAAATTCAGCATTATTAATAGAATTGAAACATCGGGACAATGGGGACCAACACGCCCAGTTTGAATAGGAATACGTGCCTTTGATATTGGATTAGTGTTAAGAATGAGAGATTGCATCCCTTCGTTATGGTACTTCTGTGCACAAAGAAGGTAAGTTTATACGTTTATGGAAACGATAGTCGAGAATTTGTGATGAAATGAGAAATGACCCAGTAAATAGTTAAACATGGTAAAATGGAGCTAGAAAAATATATACAAGTTTACCGTACAGAACCTGGACATTTATTAAAAACACGTAACGCTATCGTTTCGAAAATGGCTTCGGAAGCTTCGAACGACTAAATAACCGAAGTACATGTTGAGTAACATACCCTTTCATCCTTCCCAAACAGTAACATGAATAGTAACCCATCAATTTCTTCCCCTTCGCAGGCCCAAGGGCTGTATGCCTATGCCAAGAGTGCTGTTGTGTTCGTGGTTATGGTTGTGACAATGTGGTTCCAGATCTCGACCAACGACACAATCGTGAGAGACCGTTATTTTCCAGTTGAGAGCCTCATAGACACACAGCCCCCTTCTAGAGAGGCAAATGGTACCGTCGGTTGCCCCATCCCTCCACCAGGCCTCGGTCAGTGAATCAAGAGGTTGTGGGCCTCATTACAGTGGGGTTTCATAGATGTTCAGTATGGGCTGTTGGTCTGTCGCTCTGGTGTCGTTTGGGACAATATGTAGTATAAGCTAGTGGTAGAGTTGGGTAATAAAGCCTACATGAAGTGATTGAACAATACAAATCAAGACAAAGTTCTTCTATGGCAATATGTGTACAAATGCATCCCAAGGGTGCCATACGTAAAAGAAAAGAGAAGATCCCACAATTTTGGCTGTCGCTCATCTTGTTTACATTGCATATACTACCACGGGGGTCCAGGGCACTTTGCTCCCTGGCTAGGCGCATATACTACCACGGAGGTTAGGTTAGGTTGGATATTGGGTTAGGACCTTTTGTTTAACAACCACGGGGGTCCAGTTTTACCTCATAATTTCCCTGATATACTTCATTCTCTCCCCTGCTATCGGGACTATCAAATCAAAATTGTCGATGGAGATGGTGATGGGACAATGCCTAGAATCGGTGAAAGCAGTGGAAAAAGAAAAATATCCAAATTGTTTCGAAAGTAACCCACTACCCTCTGCAACATATTGACCCACTTTTATTTATAGTATTACCTTCGCAAGTAGGTAATAACAAAGTAATGCAACGTACGTGTGTGTGTGTGTGTGTGTGTGTGTGTGTGTGTGTGTGTGTGAGTGATAGAGAGCGAGCTTCCTCTCCCCTCCACCACCACATCATCATCATCATCATCATCCTCATCATCATCATCATCCTCATCCTCATCCTCATCCTCATCCTCCTCCTCCTCCTCCATGTCCTCCTCATCTTCTTCCTCTTCCTCTTCCTCTTCCTCCATGTCCTCCTCATCTTCCTCTTCCTCCATGTCCTCCTCATCTTCTTCCTCTTCCTCTCCCTCCATCTCCTCCTCCTTCCTCCATCTCCTCCTCTCCCTCCACCTCTTCTTCTTCCTCCATCTCCTCCTCTTCCTCCACCTCTTCTTCTTCCTCCATCTCCTCCTCTTCCTCCACCTCTTCTTCTTCCTCCACCTCTTCTTCTTCCTCCATCTCCTCCTCTTCTTCTTCCTCCATCTCCTCCTCTTCCTCCACCTCTTCTTCTTCCTCCACCTCTTCTTCTTCCTCCACCTCTTCTTCTTCCTCCACCTCTTCTTCTTCCTCCACCTCTTCTTCTTCCTCCACCTCTTCTTCTTCCTCCACCTCTTCTTCTTCCTCCATCTCCTCCTCTTCCTCCACCTCTTCTTCTTCCTCCATTTCCTCCTCTTCCTCCACCTCTTCTTCTTCCTCCATTTCCTCCTCTTCCTCCACCTCTTCTTCTTCCTCCATTTCCTCCTCTTCCTCCACCTCTTCTTCTTCCTCCATCTCCTCCTCTTCCTCCACCTCTTCTTCCTCCATCTCCTCCTCTTCCTCCACCTCCTCTTCTTCCTCTATCTCCTCCTCTTCCTCCATCTCCTCCTCTTCCTCCACCTCTTCTTCTTCCTCCATCTCCTCCTCTTCCTCCACCTCTTCTTCTTCCTCCATCTCCTCCTCTTCCTCCACCTCTTCTTCTTCCTCCATCTCCTCCTCTTCCTCCACTTCTTCTTCCTCCATCTCCTCCTCTTCCTCTCTCATCCACCTCCTCCTCTTCCTCTTTCTCCTCCATCCTTTTTCTCCTCCTTCCTCTCCCTCCTACCTCCTCTCCCTCCTACCTCCTCTTCCTCTTCTTCCTCCTCTTCTTCCTCCTCCTCCTCTTCTTCATCTTCTTCCTCCTCCTCCTCCTCTTCCTCTTCTTCCTTCTCCTCCTCTTCCTCTTTCTTCTCCATCCTTTTTCTCCTCCTTCCTCTCCCTCCTACTTCCTCTCCCTCCTACCTCCTCTTCCTCCTCCTCTTCTTCCTCTTCTTCCTCCTCCTCCTCCTCTTCCTCTTCTTCCTCCTCCTCTTCTTCCTCCTCCTCCTCCTCCTCTTCTTCCTCTTCTTCTTCCTCCTCCTCCTCCTCCTCCTCTTCCTCTTCTTCCTCCTCCTCTTCTTCCTCTTCTTCCTCCTCCTCTTCTTCCTCTTCTTCCTCCTCTTCCTCTTCTTCCTCTTCTTCCTCCTCTTCCTCTTCTTCCTCCTCCTCTTCTTCTGTAATGTACTTGTGGTGTTCCTCTCTCTCTTTCTAGTATGGTACAGCCGTTTGTTTCTTGGAGTGAAGTGGAGTTAAGTTAAAGTTGATACAGCTTCAATACTTTATTCTGCGGTAGCGTGGTAGGTGGGATACAGAGGTCAGGCGTGGCAGAGTCGCCCAAGGAGGAGCGAGGCCTCGTGCCACGCCCGCAGGCGAGCGGTCTCGAGAGAGAGCTGGAACTTGAGGTGTTGCCTGAGCCGATGCTGAGGGCAGAGTGACTTCGGCTCTCCGAGATTTCGAATGGTTCACAAATATTAACTAAACATAAAAATATGGCAACATTGTTATTTCGTGGGAAATGTCAATACTGGCCCTCTGGTTTACAACAGGGTAAGGGTCTTGTGGTCATAGGTCTGGTCAGGGACACTGGATAAGACAATACAATTATATAGTCAACATCAGATAACTACAATATCAGCAATAATAATGATTACAAACATAGTGATTGAGAATAAGGATTTTTTAACAAACATTTTGAGTATAATCAAGATATAAATTAACATGTAGTTATAGAATATTCAACGGTAAGGGTTGGAATCGCTTGCTCTGTGGGCACTTCACTATTGTCGTTATTTTCTGGGCGCAGGTCAAACTTGGCACAGTCGATTACCACTAGGGTCTTGGGTACCGTGGGAAGTCGAGGGGGAAGTAGAGGGGACAGGTCATTAAACCGCTCGGCCACTTAATCAGGATCGTCCTCGATCCTGCTGCAGAGAGTGACCTAAAGACGAAGAGAGGAGTCTCGGTTCTTGCAGATGAGCAGGAGGGAAGGTCACACAGGTCACTTCTAAGGTCGGGGGCCTAGGGAGCTTGTTTGCACAGGTCACTGTTCCGAAGCGCAGGTGGTCTTGACGGGAGCAGCAGTGGTGATCAGTCACGAAGCTCGTCAATCGTTCCACAGGATCGCTGGAAGTTGCAGTTAACTTGTCAAGCGCCGTGTCATTCGTAAATCACACGCACACCGGTTTAGAAGATTCTGGACCAAGTTGATGGCGAGGAGACGAGTGCTGAGCAGAGAATCGTGAGAACGGGGTCTTGAGAGGATCAGGATCACGTCGTTGGCGGGGAGGATTCGTCATCTCTTGAGAGGAGGAGCACCAGGGCGTTGGTGTCACGAGTTCCGACAGGCAAGGCAGGACCACTCTTGCCAGGTTCACCAGCACAGGCATCAGGTGTGGTGAGTGAGACGATATGCGACGAGGACGTCGGCGATACGATACGAGACGAGACGAGACGAGATGCGACGAGGACGTCAGGCGGCAGTCACCAGCGGACGAGGCGGCGGACACGGCCGGAGTTGCAGCGACGTGCAGTAGAGAACAAAAGGGCGTCGGGTGATGCGGGAGCGAGAACGTCCGTGAGATGAGCTCGTTAACGGGCGAGCGAGACTTCGTGCGCCAGGGATTGGCGGCTAGGGGGACGACGTGGTGATCCGAGGGTCAAGGTCAGCAGTGGGCTTCAGCACGGGGCGTCTGGTTCTGAGGACAACGAACGGGAACAACAGTACCATGTCTTGGCGACAGAAGACGTAATGCCATATCTCAGGGAGTTACAATATCAACACGAACTCAAAACGATTAGGAAATGACTGGAAGCAACGTGTCAGGGATTCAAAATAGTGTTAATTGCAACATTCACCTGATTGACAGAAGGCAGTAGTAAATTATCTAAATTGTAGGATAAAATCTCGAGAAATTATGATCTTACAGAGCCATGTATAATATAATAGTGATTCTCCACGAAATAATATGTAAATTCATATGCAAGAATACAGAACAAAAATTATTCCCATGAAAATGTAGGTAGATAGGCCATACTTAGAACATATTTCCTTCAGGGAAATGAGAGTAGTTTCACGCGAAAATGCAGGATTGATGGGAAGTAATTAAGATAAGTCCCTTTCTAGGAAACATTAATGATTTTCCCTATGAATATACTCATTTAAAACATGCAAACAAAAGCAGGAAAGATTTTCCTGTGAAATAGTTCATTATGAATAAACTGGAATTCAGCCTCGTGTAAATTCAGAAATTCGTCAACAACTTAAATTAACACGAGAACAAATTTAGTACTCATAAGTAAACAAACTACAGGGGAATAAGAGTACAAAGAGAAAAGGTTAGGCAAACCGCAGGGCACGAGTGAGGTGAGGGGAGGCGCAGAGTGACCGCGAGACATAATGTCAGCTGAGGGGAGGTCTCGTTTTCTATGAGGGGAGGAACACAGGTGTTTGCGAGAGCGAGAACAAATCAGACACTTCACTTCACAGGGGATTTCCTAAACAAATGAGAACAGCGAGGATAAAGAAACTCACCTTGAGGTACTGGCGGGGCAGTGTTGATCGAAGTTGCGGGCGTCAGGCAACTGCAGCAAAAGTGGAAGACTGCGACAGGTGTTGAAGTACTGTGCGCAGAGAGAAGCGATGACAGCTCGGCAGGGAAGACTGGCTTCGTGCTTGATGTCGGGAAATCGCAGATGTATCTTGAGATGAAGTCGGCAATGGTGTCTCCGCTTGCAGGAGTTGATAGAATATCTTGCGTTTCTTCGGAGGACTTCGTGTGGTACGTTATCTTCGGCTCGTGGGTGCGTAATCCCACCGCTGCCACCAAATTATGTAATGTACTTGTGGTGTTCCTCTCTCTCTTTCTAGTATGGTACAGCCGTTTGTTTCTTGGAGTGAAGTGGAGTTAAGTTAAAGTTGATACAGCTTCAATACTTTATTCTGCGGTAGCGTGGTAGGTGGGATACAGAGGTCAGGCGTGGCAGAGTCGCCCAAGGAGGAGCGAGGCCTCGTGCCACGCCCGCAGGCGAGCGGTCTCGAGAGAGAGCTGGAACTTGAGGTGTTGCCTGAGCCGATGCTGAGGGCAGAGTGACTTCGGCTCTCCGAGATTTCGAATGGTTCACAAATATTAACTAAACATAAAAATATGGCAACATTGTTCTTTCGTGGGAAATGTCAATACTGGCCCTCTGGTTTACAACAGGGTAAGGGTCTTGTGGTCATAGGTCTGGTCAGGGACACTGGATAAGACAATACAATTATATAGTCAACATCAGATAACTACAATATCAGCAATAATAATGATTACAAACATAGTGATTGAGAATAAGGATTTTTTAACAAACATTTTGAGTATAATCAAGATGTAAATTAACATGTAGTTATAGAATATTCAACGGTAAGGGTTGGAATCGCTTGCTCTGTGGGCACTTCACTATTGTCGTTATTTTCTGGGCGCAGGTCAAACTTGGCACAGTCGATTACCACTAGGGTCTTGGGTACCGTGGGAAGTCGAGGGGGAAGTAGAGGGGACAGGTCATTAAATCTTCCTCTTCTTCCTCCTCCTCCTCCTCCTCTTCCTCTTCTTCCTCCTCCTCCTCCTCCTCTTCTTCCTTCTCCTCTTCCTCTTTCTCCTCCATCCTTTTTCTCCTCCTTCCTCTCCCTCCTACCTCCTCTCCCTCCTACCTCCTCTCCCTCCTACCTCCTCCTCCTCCTCCTCCTCCTCCTCCTCCTCCTCCTCCTCCTCCTCCCCCCTCCTCCTCCTTCCTCTTCTTGAACATCAACCATGATAATTGTTACATATATAAAGATTCTATTTGAACATCTAACGGACATTTTACTATAAACAAGACCATTATAAAGATGCAATAACAATAAGTTGATGATGGGTATTAACAATGTTATTGGTATTATCATTATTATTATCATAATCATTATCATCCTTATTCTTGGCCTTATAGTTACCATCCCTACCATTGCAGTTGCGTGGACGGATGTGAAAACCGGAATAACCGAAGCCGAAGCCGAGGCCAACTTGACCAACGTTCGTGAAGGAGGGAGTTGGTGGCCGCGGGACTGCGTGGCCCCCTGGAGAGTGGCCATCGTCGTACCGTTCAGGAACAGAGAGGCCATGGTTCGTTTGTTTTTCTTTTTCTGTTTTTTTTTTTTTTCTGGATATTTTTTTCCCATCGGTGTGTATTTTTATACTATTCTATTTATTGTGTTTATTTTTTATTTGTGGCTTTTAATTTTACGAGATTTGTGTGTAAGTGTATGGTATGTGTTTAAAGACCATATCCTGGCGCTTCGAGTCATTGTAGTTCGGGGGCTGCTTGCATCGACCTCAAGAGGGCGTTTGATACATCGCGAATCACTCTGGGAGATCCTGAAACCAAGAGGAATTGCAACAAGGATCATTGGATTAATAGCAAGCCTGTATACTGGTAGTGAAAGAGCTGTAAAGTGTGGTGATGGGCTTCCCTGTTAGTTCAGGAGTGAGGCAAGGCTGTGTTCTTGCACCAACCCTTTTCAACACTTGCATGGACTGGATACTGGGTAGGGTTGCTGTCCAATACTGTGGAATAACGCTGGGCAATATCAAGGTTACCGACTTAGGCTTTGTTGATGATGTTGCTATTCTATCTGAGCCTCTGGAAACCCTAGTGGCGGCTCTTGATGCTTTTAGTAATGGAGCGAAGCCCTTGAGGCTAGAAAACCAAATCCAAGACTTTGGGAGCCTGCTTGATCCTCTTCAGTCAGTACGTGCTTGTGGTGAGAACATCAAAGTCACAGAGAGCTTTATATGCGTTAGTAGTGTAGTCCTTGACTCCAACCTGTAAGATCAGGAAGTCAGTTGACGGATTGGCCTGGCAGCAGGGGTCATGAAATCTCACGACGAGTATTTGGCGATGCCGGTACCTGTGCAGAAGGACCAAGCTATGTCTTCAAGGACCTGATACTGCCAGTTTTACTATATGGTAGTGAAACCTGGACGCTATCTTGGGCTTCGGAATCTCGTCTTGATGCCTTTTGTAATCGGTCCTTGCGCCGGATCATGGCGGGACCATGTGTCCAACCAAAGGTTGCACCGTGAGACTGATACAGGACATCTTACTTGCACAATCTGCGATCGCCAACTCGGGATATACAGCCACCTAGCTCGTTTCCCATAGGATGATCCTGCCCACCAGGTTGTCTGTTCAAGACAACCCTGGGTGGAGGAGGCCTGTGGCTTGGGGAGATCGATCTAACCTGTCGTGAAGAGCTAGAGATGGACCGGGCCCCTGCCTGGCGGTTCGCCATGAGGGACTTCGTAGGTGGAAATAGAGGGTGGACGTGGCTACGAGCCACCGTCGGCGTTAGCTCCCCAATGATGACAATTATGGTATGTTTATTTAGACTAGCATAAACTGTGTGCGTGTATCTGCTGTTTTTCCTTCTCTCTCTCTTTCCTTCCCTCCCTCCCTTCTCTCTTTCCTTCCCTCCCTCCCTTCTCTCTTTCCTTCCCTCCCTCCCTTCTCTCTTTCCCTCCCTCCCTCCCTTCTCTCTTTCCTTCCCTCCCTCTCCTTCCTTCTGTACCTCCCTCCCTTTGCTTCCCCCTCCCCTTCTCCCTATGTCTCTAAAGTCGACATATGCCATCCAATCATTTATATATCTGCACTTATCTTACCCTATAAATTAAGATGACTTAATCTGTCTTGTCCTAATCCTAACCATTATATTTTTTCTTTCCTACATGCACCTAGATGGGTCCATTTCTCAGCCACATGCATCCGTTTCTCCAGCGGCAGTTGCTCAATTATACCATCTATATCGTGGAACAGACAGGTAGGTGTTCATTGGTGGGAAGGAGGGGAGGAAGAGGAACGGAATAGGGAGGGTTAGAGAGGAGGAGGAGAGGAAGGAGTAGGGTAAAAGTTGAGGAGGAGAGGGGGAAGGGGGAGGGGAGGAGAGCAGGAAGAGGCGGTAGAAATGAAGGAAGGGGGGAGGGAAGGGAGTTTAGGGAAGGAGGAGAGAGGGTAGGAGGGAGAAGGAGGGAGGGAATGAGCGAAGGAAGAGGCGGCAGGAATGAAGGAAGAAGGGAGGGAAGGGAGTTTAGGGAAAGAGGAGAGAGGGTAGGGCGGAAAGAGGAGGGATAAAGGATAGAAGATAAAAGGTAGGAGGGAAAGCAGGTAAGGAGATATTTAGTCAGGGATAGAGGGAGAGAGAGGAAGGAGGAGAATTAAAGATTCGACATCAAAATCTGATTTCAATCTAAAACTTTTTACTCAGTTGGTTATAGTGAGAAAGGGTGACAGAGAGAAGATGTAAAAAGATGGACAGTGATGTAAAGAGAGAAAGAGAAAGAGAACAGAGGGAGGGAAGAAAAATGTACAGTTCCAAATTAACCAGAATTAACACCGTATCTAAGCACACTGTCTACTATCGTTTTCTTTTGTGAAATTTGCTTCTAATTTGATGGCTCCACAAGTGCTCATCCACCAATGGGCCATTTAGTAGGCCTACCTCTCCTCAACTGATTCCACGTTTCCTAGTTTGTGATTTTTTTCTATTCTTTTGTAACGCTATTGATATCGGTGTTGTTGATATTATAGTTATTATATATATGCTATTAACAATAATAACAACAATAAAAAAGGTAGACAGGTGTGCTAGGTAGGACTAGTAATTGGCTAGTAATTGTGGCGCTATGTGTAAAAAGAGTATAGTACATGGTAGAAAAATGCGTAAATATGTATTTCCTGCTTGGTAAAACTATACTAATTTGTTTTTTTTTTAATAATTATAGAGGGAGAAAACACTATCCTAAACGGTCGCAGTTCGGGAAAGGAAATATCTTTTCGAAAGAAGCCTATTAATTGATATTACGTTTTCTCACAAATACACAATACACTTAAAAAAAAACAAAACAAAACAAAAAAAAAAAACGAAACAACGAAGGGAAAAAGATCAGGAAAATGCGATTATAACAATGATCTTTTCGTTATAAATGTTTCCCAGTGACCTAATACGCTGGAGAAAAAGAAAAAAAAAAAAAGAACACGAAGTCTCCTTAGGTATAAGTTGATTTTTTTTCCTGTTTTTCTTTTCGTTGTTTCATTAGCATTATTGTTCAGAAAATGAATTTTCCGCCGAACATGGTACACAAGGGCTATAAAATATGAGCTTCTACCCTAGTTGCTGTTGTAATAAAAGTGAGGTTTCACAATACCATCCAAAATACACACACAATATTGCATCTTAGTCACAACAACTACTACAACTACTACAACTACTACAACAACTACAACAACTACTACATCTACTACATCTACTACAACAACTACAACAACTACATCTACTACAACAACTACAACAACTACTACATCTACTACATCTACTACATCTACTACATCTACTACATCTACTACATCTACTACATCTACTACATCTACTACATCTACTACATCTACTACATCTACTACATCTACTACATCTACTACATCTACTACATCTACTACAACAACTACTACAACTACTACAACTACTACAACAACTACTACTACTACTACAATAACTACAACTACTATAACGGGAACAGCAACTTCAGTCCTTCATTCACTGTCTTTCACCCAGCCTAAAATATCAGTATTAACGGCCCGGCCGTTGCACGAACGAGTTGTTCAGGAACACACACAGATTAGAATCACGTGGTTCATTCATTAACGCAAACCGCCGACCACCGACCCACCAATATACCACCACCACACAACCGCACTACCACATTTTCACCACATTTTCACCACCACAATCCCATACCCACTCAGCCATCATCACCATTACATACCCACCACCATAGTACCACCACAGAACACTGCCACCTACCCGCCCGCCAACCTCCACATCCACATACCCACCCACGACCTTAACCTACCCGCCTCCTCCCCCACCATTTTAATAAAAACCACCACCCTCCCCTTTAGCCAGCTCTCCCTCCCCTTTAGCCAGCTCTCCCTCCCCTTTAGCCAGCTCTCCCTCCCCTTTAGCCAGCTCTCCCTCCCCTCTACCCAGCTCTCCCTCCCCTCTACCCAGCTCTCCCTCCCCTCTACCCAGCTCTCCCTCCCCTCTACCCAGCTCTCCCTCCCCTCTACCCAGCTCTCCCTCCCCTCTACCCAGCTCTCCCTCCCCTCTACCCAGCTCTCCCTCCCCTCTACCCAGCTCTCCCTCCCCTCTACCCAGCTCTCCCTCCCCTCTACCCAGCTCTCCCTCCCCTCTACCCAGCTCTCCCTCCCCTTTAGCCAGCTCTCCCTCCCCTCTACCCAGCTCTCCCTCCCCTCTACCCAGCTCTCCCTCCCCTCTACCCAGCTCTCCCTCCCCTCTACCCAGCTCTCCCTCCCCTCTACCCAGCTCTCCCTCCCCTCTACCCAGCTCTCCCTCCCCTTTAGCCAGCTCTCCCTCCCCTCTACCCAGCTCTCCCTCCCCTCTACCCAGCTCTCCCTCCCCTCTACCCAGCTCTCCCTCCCCTCTACCCAGCTCTCCCTCCCCTCTACCCAGCTCTCCCTCCCCTTTAGCCAGCTCTCCCTCCCCTCTACCCAGCTCTCCCTCCCCTCTACCCAGCTCTCCCTCCCCTCTACCCAGCTCTCCCTCCCCTCTACCCAGCTCTCCCTCCCCTTTACCCAGCTCTCCCTCCCCTCTACCCAGCTCTCCCTCCCCTCTACCCAGCTCTCCCTCCCCTCTACCCAGCTCTCCCTCCCCTCTACCCAGCTCTCCCTCCCCTCTACCCAGCTCTCCCTCCCCTCTACCCAGCTCTCCCTCCCCTCTACCCAGCTCTCCCTCCCCTCTACCCAGCTCTCCCTCCCCTCTACCCAGCTCTCCCTCCCCTCTACCCAGCTCTCCCTCCCCTCTACCCAGCTCTCCCTCCCCTTTACCCAGCTCTCCCTCCACAGCTAACAAAATCTTCAACAAGGCGAAGCTCCTGAACATCGGGTACAAGCACGCGCAAGCACACGGGCCGTGGGACTGCTATGCTTTCCACGACGTAGATTGCATTCCCGAAGACGACAGGAATCTCTACTACTGCAGCAGTCAGCCAAGACACCTGGCCGTCGGTCCGGACAAATTTAATTACAAGTAGGCTCTTTTGGCGGTGGTTTCGGACCTCTGTTTTACCGCCATTACCGCAAACCGTGCGAATGCGATGATGGAGCCTTGGCTTCGGATTAAGAATGTAACTTGTTCATTAACTATGACAATGTTCTGCGCTTCGGTTAAAATGTGCAAATATGTTACTTGTATTACAAATTTCTATGATTTTTTTTTTAGAAATCATGATATGCAGGTAATCAGTGATTGCTAACTCCAATCAACGCCGAAATCATGGCTTTAGCGTCGCATTCGTATCACTTGCGGTAAGGGTGGTAATCCTTATGGTAGCAATGGGGCTGCGGGTCATCTTGTTATAGTTGTTGATAGGATTATTATGAACCTCATCGTTATTATAAGTATCTTGTATCAGCATTATCATTATTATATTTTATTATCATTATTATTATATTATAATATTATTACAATATTATATTATCATTATTATTGTATTTTATTATCAATATTATATTTTATTATCATCATTATTATTATTATTATATTCAAGTAGGCGTAATAGTAGTAATAGTTGAAGCAGTAGAATAGTATTTTGTTAGTATTATAGAGATTATCCATATCACCTCCCATCATTATCATCAATATTAGTACTATTGGCACAGTAATAATAATAGTTATTATTATTTTTATCATTCTCATTACCATTATGAGCCTGATTGGTACATACTGAAGATTCATGGAATTTACTTTTTTGGTATTATTAATATTAGTGTTCGTTACTATTCCCAGTTTCCTATTTTCTGAATATTTCTATCTGCTCTCCCTCTTCCCACCCTTATTCCTTGTTTATCTGTACCCTTTTCCTTCCCTTATCCGCTTTCCCCCTCTCACCCTTTTGCCCCTTTCCCTTCCTCACTCTTCCACCCTTCCTTCCCCTCCCCCCTTCCCTGCCTCACCTTCTACTACCCTACCCCTCCCTTCCCCTTCCTCCACTCCCCCCTTCCCTGCCTCACCCCCTTCTGCCCTACCCCTCTCTTCTCCTTCCCTCCCCTCCCTTCCACCATCCCCTCACTCCCTTCCACCCTCCCCCACTCACTCCCTTCCTCCCTCCCCTCTCCCCCTCACTCCCTTCCACCATCCCCCTCCCCTCCCCCCCTCACTCCCTTCCCCCCTCCCATCCACTCCCCACTCCCTTCCACTCCCACTCCCCCCCCCCCCCCCCCCCCCCCCCCCCCCCCCATACAGACTCTTCTACCCGACCTGCTTCGGCGGCGCGAGTCTCATGAGCGGGTGGCAGGTGGAGCGGGTGAACGGGTGGAGCAACCTCTACTACGGCTGGGGTGGAGAGGACGACGACATGTGGGAACGCATCCACGCCGAGGGAATGGAGGTCAGGCGCTACCCGGACCACATAGCCACATACACCATGTTGAACCACACGAAGGCGCCGCTGAATTCGAGGAGGTATGTTGGGTGGTGGAGGAGAGGGGGTGGGAAGGGGGGAAAGGAGGGATGGGGGGGGGGATAGGGATGTGGAGGGGAAGTAGGGAGGGAGGGAGGGAGGAGGGGAGGTGGGATTGAGGAAGGGGAAAAGGAGGGAGGTAGGGAAGGGGAAGGAGAGACGAAGGGGGGGGGAGGGGGAGAAAGAGAAAGAGGGAAAGAGAGAATGAAAAAGGGGTAGGGTAAATATGAGAAAGAGTAAAGAGTGTGTTTATTTCATCTTTGTTTTGCATTAATTAGAATATATTTGATTCTAATTCTTCATAACTTTAGATGAAGGAACTCCATTTTTTATCTATTTTTTTATCGTTATATCTGAATATAGATATCGTCCCAATGCTTTTCTTTATGTATCTTCTATTTACTTGGCTTTACTATATTCAGAGAAGCTCTTTAATTTCTATGGTTTAGAGTTATAAGAAAAAGTAAACGATATTTTGTTATATTTTTTCCTTAAGAGAAAATAAATCCGCTCATGGGTTCTTATTAAAATTTCTGTTTCTACAGGTTTACATTCAATACACAATTAATGGCCCAAACTTTCTACCTTTCTACCAGTTTCTAACAAAAAAAACACGTTCTTGTCAGGTACAAATAATTAATAATAATAATAATAATAATAATAATAATAATGAGATAATAATAATAATAATAATAATAGTAATAATAATAATAGTAATAATAATAATAGTAATAATAGTAATAATAGTAATAATAGTAATAATAATAGTAGTAGTAATAATTCAGTTTTATTCTATTTATTGCAATCGATATTCTTAGGGTGACAGACTGCCTGTTTTCTTTTTCTTTTAAATTACCCCTAAGTGTGCAAGGAATGGCCGGGGTTACCATCCACTGGCGGCGAGGGATTTGAACGCAGCTTAGCAAGATTGCTAGACGAGATGGCCCAATTTGTTTTTTTTTCTGTCGGTTTCTAATCCAAACGCGTTTTCGACAGGAAAGAACTGATGGCCCAATTCGTATTTTTTCTGTCGGTTTCTAATCCAAACGTGTTCTCGACAGGTACGAACTGATGGCCCAAACCACAGCCGCTTACAAGAGTGACGGCCTAAACTCCCTGAACTACAGCCTCGTTTCGACCACACGGCGCCCACTGTACACGAAATTCTTAGTCGATATCTGAACTGCGTGGGGTGCGCGACACTCCGGAATTGTTTATTTATAAAGAAAATGTGTAATCAAAACAACTTTTCCCCTTTTTTTTAAACCTTCGTGTAAAGTTCTTTGTTTGTGTTTTCTGTGTTGTGTGTGTGTGTGTGTGTATGTATGTATGTATGTATGTATGTATGTATGTATGTATATGTGTGTGTGTGTGTGTGTGTGTGTGTGTGTGTGTGTCTGTGTCAGTGTGAGATAGTCTCTCCGGAAATGCTTATTTGGCAATGTCAATAACATGATAAAAAAAATGACGCACACGAGATAAAAGGCTTACCGAGACGTGTGTAGAGATAATGGATGGGAACGAATCGATATACACTACAGATGGAGATAAAGAAATACAGTATCAGTAATACGAGATGTAAGCATTTTCAGGAATCCCATACAAATCCCTTGTTCTTTGTTGCTGTGGGAGGGCATAGGAGATTGAGGCCCGTTGTAGGGGATCACCCTGCCTTGGATCCCTGCCTTCGCCTCTACTGATTTTACAGGGTCTCCCCCCCCCCCATACACACTTTCCTTTTCCTTCTGTTCTTCATCCCCTTCTGTCCACTTATCCTAATCGCTAATTTCTTTTTACCCTTTTCGATAAATGACATTAGATGACGTGACAGAAGAAAAAAAAATCAACCATTATACACGTTCATAACAGTGTAATAAGCTGCTTTCCAGTACAGTCCAAACAAATCGATTTAAAGGGCAAATCTCCCCCCCC